TTATTAAAAATAAAAATAATAATAATAATAAAGGAAGAAATGTGGGATCCACATATAAATCAAGTATAAAAATCAAATGAATATTCATATTTGACCTGATTGTTTATAGTTCATAATGCGTGATCAAAACCGAAAGTTTCTGTGATGACTGCCCTTGTACTGTTTACCATGTAAGAACTTATTCACTGTGTAAGAATTTGTTCTCCATGTAAGAACTTGTTCATTATGCTTCAGAAGATTGGAGACTGATGAGAACTAGGCTTGAGATGGATTAATGATTGTGCATTGACCATTGACCCCCCTATACAAAATTTTATTGTTGTTAACAACCATTTGATCAATAAACATGAGAGATGCCCTCTCAAAAAAAAAACAAAAAAAAACAACTTAGCAGCAATTCCCTAACTGTTCCTGCCTTTTCCACATCATCTCCCCAAGATACTTGTCTACAGAACACTCCCTCAGCCTTTGTCTTCCATGCCACCATCCTGGCTTGGTTCTCTTCCTGGCCTACTTCTGAAAGCAAATTTATAGCTGCATACTACTTCCCTCTCTTTCCTCAAATACATACTCCTTATCTAGGATAATATTTGTTGCAGTCCTTTCCGAGTCATCTTGGACCCTTCCTGCACCCTCTTGCCTCATAGAAATGGTGTCCCTTTCTTTCCATATATAAAGTTGATAGTCCACACATACCTGGTGTTAAGCAGATGCCCCATTTTTGATCATGTTCATAATTTAACGTGGTTGCACACCATGGCCCTCTGTGATTTCCATCAAGAAGACAATCATGAAACCAGGTCCCATTAACTAAGAATGGAAATTCACAAGGTCTCCCATAGGAGTTCCCATCTCTGGTATATATCTCTGTGTGTTGGGGAGAAAGTAGAAGAAAAAAAGAGTTAAAAACTGGATAATGAGCTTCAGTTAACTAATTTCTAAAACTACTTTGAAAGACTGTTGTTTTCACTTATAAGAATAGAACATCTGGGTAGGCTGTACAGTGTGGAAATTCAGAGTATGGATGCTGACTGCTCATCTCTGGACTTGAACGCTGTCTCACCCAGTGACCAACTGTGTGCCTACGGGCAAGCTCTCCAACATCTAATTAGCCTTAATTTCTTCATTTGCAAATTACCATAATAGCATCTAGCTTATAGAGTTGTTCATAAGGATTCAATGAGGTAATCCATGCAAAGCTTTATTCATTGCCGTGTGATGAAGAGCTAAAAGATCCTGGCCAAATAAAGTAAGGATCACATGACTGCGCAGATTGCAGAAGGGATGCCCTGCCTGAGACTGCATCTACACTTTCTTTTCTTTAGCAGAAGTAGGACCAGAAAAATACCCTGGAATCATTGAGGGTGGGAGAGGACTTTGGAATCCATGGTCGAGTTCGAGAGAAGGACAAAGAGCCCCACTGTTCACAGATAGGTGGTAGAATTGACGCAGTGGGTTCTGAGGAAGTGGGAGGAGTTGTGGCTGGATCTCTGAATGGATTGCTGGAGAGCGGCAGGCATGGTAACTCAGGTTATGAAAGGAGAACCAGCTTCAACTGGGCAGTCATGGGACCAACTGGTGGCCAGTGAGGTAGCAGAACTAGCTTTTCTTTAATAATTTTCCCTGATACAGGAAGAGGAACTGAAAAAATTTTCCAACGTCATATAGGCCTGGAAATGCTAGATGAAGTACTCAATAATTACATCAATAACACGTCTCTTGGAAAGGGGTTTTTATAGAACAGCTACCTCTACAACTATTTCGGCCACCTTTCTCTATATCCTTAATTTGTTTAAAACTTAGTCATTATGGTGGTTATCATGCGGGAGAGGTTGGGGTGGGTGAGGGGAATAAAGCGGCACAAAAATTCTCAATCATAATATAAGTTGGTCAAGGGGATGGTAATATAACATGAAGAATATAGCCAATGATTCTGTAACATCTTCCTACATTGAAAGAGAGTAACTGCACTGTGGGGGGGAGGATTTAATAATATGGGAAACTGTTGAACCACTGTGTTGAACCACAGAAGGCAGGGCATCCCTTCTGCAACCTGCGCAGTCATGTGATCCTTACTTTATCTGGCCAGGATCTTTTAGCACTTGAAACCAATATAAAATTGTGCCTCAATGATACTTCAATACAAGTAAAATTGTAGTCATTACCACATCAAGTAATAGCTATTAGGTAAAGCATAGTAATGAGATCTTATCACCCTTTACTAGACTACTAGGGTCCCTCAAGATATTTCATAGATTTGCTGAAAAGTGTACCTAAGATAGTATTTTATTCCACATACTTGTTATTCTCAAATGTTCATTTAACTGAAATGTGAGATAATTTAATAGTTTAGAATGTATTAAATAGCAGTACAGCAAAAAGTAAGAATCATCTAGATGCTTTTATTTTCAGTCTTACAAGGAACACTCGTTTTGTTTTCCTCTGACAGGCTACCTCTGAGAAAGAGTAATTTGACCTATTTTATAAGGATCTTGATATTAACTATGTTTTGTTTTTAATCATACCAAAACCCCTAAGAGGTGATGACCATTTCCATTCCTATATTACAACATTTAAAAAGAAAGTCCCTCAGCACAAAGATGATAACTTGTAGAACCATCAGTTTTTCTTCTAAAACAGTGTGTTTCTGCAATAGAAAGTACTTTTACATACACTTCTTCACTTGCTCTTTACCATAAGCCCCTGAGATCCATAGGGAAAGTATTGCACTTGTTGGTGAAATCTCCATTTCTGCGGAATAATTAAGTTACACATCACACATCCAGTCACTCAGCCCTCAGAGACAGGGATGAGAACTAGGTCTCTGATTAGAGTCCTTGACATGTAGGGACAACCTGTGACATCAATGGCTGTCTTCTCAAGTTCCAAGTTACATTTCAGAGCTCAAACCTCTCCTATTTGAAGAATGATAAGTATATAACAACCACTACAACAGCAGCAGCTGAATTATGCTAACTATTCACTTAGAGTTTTATTCTCACAGGTTCTTCACTGTGGCTGGACCTCTTAAGTCCAGCCGCAGTGAAGGTTTCCCTAGAGGGACAGGCCTTCCTGAGAAGAATCTTCTCTGAATGTTCCAAGTTATGGTGATAGCAGCTTAAAACACCAGCTTATTCTGCAATAGGCACAAAATTGTGAGAAAAGGCACTTACATGGGGAAAACTAACATTAGTGTCTTTGGTAACATGAGACAAAACAGCTTCAATGAATAAAGAAGTTGTCAGAACTCTAGGAATTGCTTAAAATTCAAATAGTTCAATAGACACCTTCCCCTGAAAGTCCATTTCCTCTGCACAATTCACCAAAACATTCAAAACGTGAAGACTTGCCTGTGAGGTCAAGATATCTTAAAATTATAAATGCATATCTGGATGCTATTCAAAAGGAGTTTATTCATAAAACTTATGAATTATGAAAAAGATGGCTCACAGAGGATGGGTTGCAGGGAGAGGCAACCCAGGACACAATGACAAATAATTGTTCTTATTTTAGAAGTTAAAAAACAATTACACACCGAAAGCCAAGGGAGAAATTAAAAAGTTATATTTGGGGAACACAGTACTGGTTTTGAGCGATAGCTTTGCTGTTATAAGCTGAGTGACCTTGGACTACACTTTGTTGGGACTCAGGTATCTTATCTTTCTTATCTCCATACAGCTAGATAAGAGTAGGGGCAGGATCCCATACAGGAAGTCTGAAAGAGCAGTCCGAGAGCAAGTGCTTAAGACAGCCATTGCTATCCGAAGAATAGGAAGGGAATACATGCATTTAAAAGAGTAAAATTGCCAGGACTTGATATTTGATTAAACTTGAATGGTCAGAGAGGATATAGCCAGACAACTCCAGGGTGACTTGTAGATTTCTGACATATGTGACTTGGATGGCACCAGTCACCTGGAGAGGAATGGAGAAGAGAAGGTAGATTTGGCCCTGGCACCTGTGCAAATTAAAACCTGAGGTATATGTTGATGAGTCAGAATGAAGGTGCTTTCTGTAGAAATTTCTAAATTTGTTTTGGAAATTTAGTGTTCCAAATATTGTGTGTGATAGGCCAAGAAACACTCCATGCCTGTGGGCTCTTGCTGTTGGCCCCGTTTAGCTCTCTCTGAGGTAGTATCCTACGTGGGTTCTTAAACTTCTTGTGCCACTCATCACTTTGGCATCTGTTTGAAGTGCACAGGCCCCCTTCTCAGAAGAGTATTATAAATACATAAAATAAAACACATAAAAAAAATAAATGCAGTAAAATAGGATTACAAAGAAAACCAGTTATATTGACATGAAAGCATTTTGAATTGAAAATAGAAATACCATATGATCTAGTAATTCCACTTTTGTATATTTACCTGAAGAAAACAAAACACTAATTTGAAAGGATATGCACACCCCTATGTTTGTTGTAGCATTATTTATGATAGCCAAAATAAGGAAGCAACCTAATTGTCCATTGATAGGTGAATGGGTAAAGAAGATGTGATATACACAATATAAACAATAGGTATATATATAAAATATATACAATGGAGTATTACTCAGCCATGAAAAAGAATGAACTCCTGCTATTTGCAACAACATGGATGACCTGGGGGTATTATGCTAAATGAAATAAGGCAGACAGGGAAGACAAATACCATACGACTTCACTTATATGTGGAATCTAAAAAACAAAACCTATAAATGCTCAAAAATATAGAAACAAACTGGTTTGCTAGAGGGGAGAGGAGTGGGAGGTAGGTAAAATAGGTAAAAGGAGTAAAGAGGCACAAACTTCCAGTTATAAGACAAACAAGTCACAGGGATGAAAGGCACAGCATAGGGAATATTGTCAATAATATTGCAATTACATTGTACAGTGACAAATGGTGACTATACTTACTATGGTGAGCTTTTAGTAATGTGTGTAAATGTTGAATCACTATGTTGTATACCTCAAAGTAACATAACATTGTATGTCAGGTATACTTAAATTACAAAAATAAGTAAGTGAAATCATATAATATGAAAAAACAAACAAATGAAGGCATTTGCAGGACTAAGGAAATTTACAATTACAACTATGTCCTTCAAAAGATTTAGAAGCAAGAGACAAAAAGAGCCCTGCCAAGAAAATTATCCTTTCTGATCCTTGAACAAATACAATGAAACAAGTCAAATCCAATTCAAAAGGCATTTCATTTGGTTCCATGTTTCCTCTTAGCTGCCCAGTTACTGAACGGCTTTTACAGCACAAAATTTGACTTGCCATTAAGCAGCATCCCAAAAATAATTACTGTTTTATTGTTTAAGGTTAAGAGGAAGCTGGCTAGCAGAAACAGACTTGTTAATCTTGGTCAAGGATTAAAGAAAAGATGAATCCCATCTCTAATACTCTAATATTTCCCCATAACGGTAGAGCCTGACATTGCATAAATAGGAGTAAGTTCCCCAAGAGAAAAACTTGTGCAGATAACAGGAAGGATGGGAAGCCAAATTTAGCTTAACTGAGCTTTAAGAGAAGAGGAAAATCTCTGTAAAGGTATGTGAAGTTGACAAAATAGAACAAACGTGAGAGAACAGTTAAGATTACAATAAGACAATTAAATATATGTATTTATTTCAACATTTGATGAAATTTAGAGCAAAATAATGAAAAGAGATTTGCTTGGGTGATAGCTAATTACATTTAGAGGCTTAAGAAATAAATCTACTCATTCTGTTTAGATTGGAAATTCATTACAATCCCCTCTGGAGACTCAGAACAAAGTTCATGATAAGCATGATGCCCCAAAGAAGTATTCCTATGCTTATTTCTGGAAGCAACTGAGAAAAATTCACTCTTAAAATGGCTGAATCATAAATACAAACCTCAAAGTGTGATAGCTATGCCAAAAATAAAAAGTAAATAAGTAAATCCATAAGAGGTCTTCAGGTTTTTCCATTACATCAAACTCTGAAGACAAGGAAAAATACATTTCCTCTCCTGTCTTCTTCTTTAACTTAGAATAGGTTTGACTTCACTGCATCATTTGCCATTTAACCCGTATGAAGGATTTCCTGTTACTCTAATGCTTCCTTTCCTCTGGAGTTGAGGATGTAATCATAGAAGTATATATGCTCAGGCATCAGAGAGATTTCTAAATCCCAGGTTTAGACCTCACAGAGGTAGCTCAGAGTAGCTGCACAGTGCCTGGAATTAAATGCCAGCTCGCTGTCCTAACTAGAGTATGACTTTACCTGTAGTCAGCTGTGCGTGGTCAGTGTCCCATTGACCATATGCAACAACAAATGAGTCAAACTTCCTCCCCAGTACTCACCACGGTAAGGCTGGTCACAGAGGCTTTCCTCTGAACCTCCTTTCTTCCAGACATCAGATGAATTCGTACTTGCTACGACATGTCCACCCTTCAGAGCCAACCGGTATCGCGCAGCTCCGTACAGAGAGTGGTGCTCACACTTCCACCACAGCATGGCACTGGAGTCACAGCTGAACATTCTCAAGGAGTCTGTGGGCTTGACAATATTTAGGCCAAGGCACTTCTGGGATTGCAAATGAAAGAGCCGGTGTGCGGACACCCATTTCCATAGCATGTCCTTGGTTCCATCACAGTCCTTGGCTACTATCCAGTCGTTCAGTGGCTGGATGCACTTGTCTGTGTTTTCATTGACGATGGTGAATGGCTCATTACCTGTGTCATGACAGACGGGCAGAGAACACATTTCAGGATTCTGAATTATGTGGTCAGCGCGTCTTGAGCCCTGCTCGCTGGGGAGTCTTGAGCACCACCGAACTGTAATGTGTTCATTAGGTCAGAGGACAGTGGTGGCCAGAGAGGCAGTGCAGTGTGGGGTAAGAGCATGGTCTTCCTGGGAGCCAGCAAGACTAAGAGCCAGTCTTCTGGGCTCACTCTAGTCTGCCTCTGCTCCTTGTTAGCTATATGATCAGTTATTTAATGCTGTGCTTCAGTTTCCTCTTTTGTAAAACAAGGTTTCATGCAGTAAATGTCAGGATAAAATGAGCTCATACACATAAAGTGCCTAGAATAGCGTATTTGTTATTGTTATTCCATGAAACGTGTTCCTGCTTATTTAATGAGATGAAGGAAAGCCTTAGTTTTCATCCTCCCTAGACAGGTGGTCTACAGTCAATGAAAAATATCTTCAGCCTGTTCAGGACAACTATTCTGTCTTGCTTACACTTTAGCTACTATGGCTAAATTATTACACGTGTCTCAGAGACACTGATGTGTCTCAGAGGAGATGGTGAAACTTCTGAGTCGGGGGAAGTAGAATAGCGGGGTAAGGGAATGAGAGGAAATGGTCTGTGTTCTGAGGGCAGGGGAAATCCATGGCCAGCTCTAGCATAGCACCTTCAGGAAAGTGACAGAAAGACGCTGGGGAGGGGTTGGGGGTGGGTGGACTGACTATGTGAATCATGTAGGGAGGCCAAACCCAAGCTCTAGGAATCACCTGAGCTTATTCAAGACTTAGTAGGGTTCAAGACCCAGTAGGCTTAGGAACTCAGAAGTAACCAGGGTGAGCTGAAGGCTAAGGGAGGGACCTCCCAAAATGTTCCCCTGGTGGTTTTGCGTGAACAGGGGCAGACCTCAGTAATGACAGAAACTGCAGTTCTGTTACCCAGGTGGAATGGGACCTCAGGATAAATTTGATTTTATGAAAATAAAGTAATGCATTTGTTTCTTGCAGACCTGAGTTTGTGGAGCAAGATTCACATCTGTTAAAACAAACTACGATTGGGCAATTTGGTCAGTGCTTTTAATAGAAAAGTTTTTGAAGTTATGGCACAGAACGTCATGTTGATGAGAATAAAGCTGAAATATTTTAGACAAACTTAAACTATTATTGTCAATGAACCAAAGGGTTCAGCAGAAGGACTTGTAAGATTTTGGTTCCCAAAAGGCACTTTCATTTTGATGCCAGCTTCACAATCATTGGGTTTATACCACAAAACCCCCTTCCAAATGGTACTTCACAGGCTTTCAGAGTTTAAAATTCTCACAATAAGGACTTGGGGAATTTTACCATGCAAATAATAACTGTAAAATTAAGTCCAATTCCAGTTTGAACTTTGGACAGAATTTTTGTTGTAAATAGCAGCAGTAGCAACAAGAAAAGCAATAGGAACAACCAAATTCTTTAAAACCTCAAGTTATTTCTGCTTTCAAACCTGTATTTTAAACACTGCTTAGGTTGCAGCTAGGTAGGTTTGCCGTAGCTGCATCCATGGCTTCCTCATTCTTCTCAGACATCACTCTGCAATTTTCTTTCTTATGGACACAGTTCAGGAGGATAATGAACAAAAAAGCAAAACATACTATCTGGGACGATTATCACTCACACTTTCTCTAATGTCCCTCTCCCATCTAGCCAACAGCCACTCAGACCCGGATGCACCTCTTTCCCAAATTATTCTCTCATCTCTCCAACAGAAATCCCGTGTTCCAAAGTTTCAGGAATTGCTGCAGAAAAAAGAAGTCTACTTCTACAGGAGAACGGGCATGGGGGGAGGGGTGCTGCATCCTTGCTGGAACCTTCCCCCACTCCTGCCCTATGGTCTCACTGTTCTCTTCCCTGAGTATTCTGCTGTGTGTTCCTTGACCCCAAATGGGTGAACTGGGCAACCACCTCTGGAGTTTGGAGTTCTAGATTTTTCAAGTTGTCTCTGCAGAAGCCAGTGGACTAGTTACAGTTTAGTACAGTGAAAAGAGCAGCGGAACAAGGAGTCAGGAGTCCCAAGTTGAAGACTAATCTCTGCTACCAGTTAGCTGGGAGACTTTGGGGCCATCACTGCATCTCCCCAGGGTCTTGTCTTCGCATGTAAGATGAAAGCAGTGCAGTATAAGGTATCCAAGCCACTTCTGCTACCCGTGTCCTATGCTTCCATAAGGTAAGTTGTCCCAGCCTCGCAGGTTTTACTAGTCTTTGCTAAGTTCATTGCCTATGAGTCATAACAGATGTCTACATCATGCGAATCCTAGTAGCATTTTAGGTCATTCTAATACCGTTTGTACTGGGCATGTGCTCTTAGATGACAGTGCTGCTTTATAAATATACTTTAGAAGAGAAAAAAAAATTACCCTTTTTCACTGAAAGACTGTAGGAGAGGTGTGGAGTACCATGAAGTAGCTATGCTTCGGATGAGTTGCTAAGCCTCCAAACTAATTGCAGCATCTATGACTGTAGATACTTGCCTAATTCAAAGTCTGTTTTCTAACCAATAGTGTAATATCAATGTTTGACACCTATAGTGGTCACTTAGCATAGATATTAATTATTGATATGACTTAAGGAAACTTGTTATTAGCATTCATATGTAATGTACGTGTAAGCATCCATACATAATATATAAGCTAAGGAGAGTATTGCCTTCTCATGTTTTCCCTTCCCCTTAGCTGGAGTGGTTCAGTCGGCCTCAGCCTTGTGACCTTACTGGGGTGATAGCTTGAAGAGTGGGAAGGACTGAGAAGGTGGGAAAATAATTCCTCACTTAGAAAATGTGTTAAATAAGGGTACATAAAATATTTCAGAAATGTACTACACTTTGAAAAGGTAATTCAGAGCAATTTATACAACAGATTCTTTATTGATAGCCTTATATTGCATCTTATTCACTTGACAACCTTATACTGGTCCTAAATGGAATTCTAATGTTTACCTTCAAATACAATATTAGAACAAGTCTTAAAGGCAGAGGTTGATAAAAAGCCTCATCACCCCTAATAGCACTTTTTATATGTTTCATTTTGTATAAAAGCATTCTAGTGGTCCTTGAGGGGAAATGGCTAAGTAGCATTATTATATATTGAAAATAAATTTTTAGTATTTTCATATCCATCAAAGGAAAACTATCTCTTATTGTCTGATCACTAAGTAACTCCTGTCTGACAAGCTCTAAATCAGAGAGCTTTGCACATTCCAAAGACAAGCTGGACATCAACATTTTATAACCACAGACAAATGTAGAGAGAGATGGCTTGGGAAGACAAGAAAGATGACTACTGCAACATTCTGAGTTTCAGGGGAACTTCCACAGCCCACACTGTCAAGCAATTTGTGGAGCTGCCAATGTGTGTACAAAGTGTACAGGTGCAGTAGGAGACATCAGAAGTCTGGGTCTGCTAGTTCAAAAGTAGGTCCTCAAGTAAGAGCTGGGTCTGTGGTAATCTACTAGGACTTAGAAGTCTTGGAGTTCAGCGTGGGTGGAATGGGCTGGTGAGAACCTCAGGAGTCCCTGAAGGTTTGTTAGCTCTTCAAGGAAGCAAAAAAGTAAATGAAGCAATTGGCATTTTCCCAAGGACATTTCCTGCATCTGAGCTACTGAGACCACCTGCACAAACCCAGCTGCATACATGCGACGAAGGGCATGCCATTACCAGCATTGTGAAGCTGACACACTGCCAAAAAGCTATCCAAAGGGCTGGGGTTTCAAAATTCCAGTGCTTCCCTTAATGATGGCCACAAGTCAGGTTTGAAGGTGTGTGTAAGCAGACCAGAGCAGCTGCTAAGGTTGAGGAGGGACGCAGGAAAGCAAATACGAGAACCTAGTGTGGGGAGAATGGAGTTAAGCCAGTGCTCATTGCTTTGGGTTGATGAGAAAGGCCAAGTAATTTAGAAATTGCTAAAATTAAGGAAATCTTGAGTTCTGTGAGGGAGACAAAGCAGGAAAGATCATAGTGGATGTAGATGGAAACCAAGAGTTGAGTGATTGAAAGACTGGTGTATTTTGACTGTAGTTGCTGCAGTGAAATTTTCTCCCTTTATTGTGGCGAAAGCAGAATTTTCACAGCAATAAAGGACTTTTGGTAGTTTCTAACATGGAAGGTCAAAGAAGAATGAAGTGTAAATCAGAGCAGGGTGCCTAAAAGGTCCTTGATGTAGATGGGGTGAAGCCACTCACATTGTGAGTATCACTTCCCATCATTTTCTGAAGAAAGCCAAAATCAGATAGTAACTTAATTTGGCAGCAAAGAAAATAGGAGCCACAAGCAACCTGAGTCTTTAAAAAACTCCCTGACCATCTTTTACTTCCGCATAACACAAGATAACAGAAGTGGTGGGTGGCGATGGACAGCTGATCGCACATTAAGCAGCCTAAGAAACAAAGTCCTCAGCACACCTTTTGCCAATGCAAAAAGGGAAAGTAAAAGCAAACTCGGATTACTGCCAGGGGGGATGGTGGGCTGGCACTTCCCAGAGCATCAGCAAAGGGCGTCTGTTCCTGGTCCTGCTTCCGCGAGCAGAGGCAGGAGCTATCCAGGCTAGCGGACCAGCGCTCCAACTTGGAACCCACCCTCGTGGGGGTCGTTCGCTGCTGATAAGCCATTGGAAGGAAGGGTCGCTGCTCGAGGCACTGGGGGAGTCATGATCACGGTCATTTTGGAGACATGGCTTAACCTGACTTCCTTTTCTGACATGCACGGTGGCGCGGTGGAGTTGGAGAAATCTTTACCCATCCTTGGCGCTGTGGTTGGAAAGCTCCTCTTGGCAAAGGCGACCACCGGGCCAAGGACGGGAGAGACCGCTGGGATGCAGCAAGGGGGTGTTATTTGCCCTTCACTCCAAGGAAGCAAGATTTTAGAGTAGATGGCGAGGAAAGTGCCGCGGGCCCGCCCAGAAAAGAATCTGTGCACCTTGTCTACGGTGGACTCCTTGCCCTGCGCACCCGAAAGCCCTGTCCTCCTACGCCCCACCCTGCCCTTCCCCGGGCTCCAGACGCAAAGCGGAGTCTGCACCCCGGACCTCCCCTCACTCGTCGGCTCCAGGCCCCCAAGCAAAGCAGAGCGAACGCGGTCAGCGGAGCGCAGCCCTAACCCAACCGAGGAGAGTGGGCAGAGCCGGCAGCGTCGAGGCAGCGAGCCGGCCGGCGGAGCGGACGGGCCCGCGGTTACCTGCGCGGCCAGAGGGCTCCGTCAGCCCGCAGCACCCGAGGAGCAGCACGACGAGCCCCGCCACGCGGCGAGGGGTCGCCCGGCGCGGCCTCATCCCGAGCCGCCGCGAGCGGTCCCGCCAGGTCCTCGGGCGCACGCGGCGCCCACCCTTTCTGGAGCGCGCCGCCGGCTCCCCGGGCCTCGCGCGCGCCCCGGCCCCGCCCCCGCCGCCCTCGGCCAATCACACCAGCGTGTCCTCGGTGTGGGCCCCGCGGGGCGGGGCGCGGGGGGCAGTGCGCACCTGCGAGGGGGTCCCGCGGGGAGGCAGGAAGAGCGCGCCGAGCCCGACGCCGACCCCCAGGCGTGGCGGGTCTGGCCCCCGCTCTTCGGAAAGTGGAGGAGACGCGGCCCTTGATGGGTCTTGGCAACGTCCCGGTGGGTGGCCCCGGTCAGTTTAGGACCCAGATCTCCGCGGCCTAGCGCACCTCAGTCGGGAATGACTCCTTCGTTGCGCCTTTGGGCTGGAAAGGCACCCACATCCTCTCACCCCGGAGGGGGGGAGTATGCGCGTCGTGCTGCGGCTGCGGTCACGCCACAGAATTGAGTTTTTCTAGGCAACGTCTTGCGTACTTTGACAGTGCAAACAAAGGTGAGGTAATGGAGTTAGACCCGCAGTTATTGACGGATTAAAAGCAAGAGCTGTTCAAATGACCCTACAATACTTCCAAGGATGATTAACCTTTATAACAGTTTGAACTTTGCAAGTAAGCTCTTAGTTTAATAACAACAACGGCGGTGATGATAATTCAGTAGGAAGCTGCTCCCCAAACTGGCCATTGTAAGAGTAGAATTCATTGTATCTCCTCTTTGGGGTAACTTGTCATCATAAATAGGGTGACTTAAATTGCCTGGATACTAATGTTTACTGAGCACATGGTGTGTACCAGATGGCTTCCATCCGTACTCCCAAGAGTGAATTCTTCCACAGTGAGGTGCCTTTTCTGATTTTAACAGACAAGGCTTCATGATGCTTCCGAATCCACCTTGGCTTTATTCTGCCCCCAGACTCCAGCCTTTCAATTCAGTAGTTACACTGAGCACTTGCTATCACAGGAACTGGGCACCTCCCTGGGGAAGATAAAAACATCCTTGCCTCAAGCTCACTGATTACTGGGGGAGACTGAGGCACACAGCAGTTCAGGGCAGAATGAATGGGGAGATTTGGTAAAGCTTCAAGGAAGACTAACACCTCAACTGGACCTTAAGGAATAGATACTGCATAGGAATTTAACCAGGCACAGTTTGTGGGAGAAAAAACAGTGAAAGAAGAGGAGCAGGATAATGAGAAGTAGTGTCAGAAGACAGTTCAGAGTCCACTGTGGCCTCCCAGCAGGCTGCATGTGTGTGTGGGTGTTGTGGTGAGGACCTAAGTGGAAATGACAGCAGAAAGATGAGTTGTAGCTGCTTTGTGAAGAGCTTGGAATGTGCTGTGGAAGACTTTGACTCAGTTCTCTTGGGAATGGGAAGTGGAGCATTCTGAGCAAGGCACATCTTCAGCCTGCTTCTCTTCTGGTTTCCTCTGCATCTGTGGCTGCTGGCCTTTCTAATCCTGCCCAGCTTGGAGCTACTTAAGGGCCGTTGTCTTATCTTCTTTGTTCTCACATCTCTAATACCAAGCAACAGGCTTGACACAGAATAAACTGTCAACAAATATTAGTTTACTTAATTAATGAACTCCTAGGGCTGCTGCTTAAGCCTAGGCGCACGAGCTCCTGCTTGCATTACTTTGCTGTGGATTCTCAGCTGACTACTCACAGTTGTCCTCTCAGGCAAACAGACCCTCCCGAACATGTGTGGAACATGCCACCTTTCTTCTCCTCAAATCCTTTCAGTGCTACTTGCTTATAGCAGGGGTTCCTAACTGGAAGTTCAGGGGGGTTGTGAACCCCTTAAACTGTATGCAGCTTTATGTATGCACTTTTTTTTTTGAGGGGAAGGGGTCCAGTGCTTTCATGAGATTCTCAAAGAAGCCAATGATACAAAAAGAAACTCCATCTAGGACAAAGCAAGCCCCCGTATGATCTGACCCTTTATCTTTAGTTACCTTCCTATGTCACTCTTACGTTCAAGCAACCTTTCTGAATCTGTCTTGCCTTTTCCTATCTCTGCCCATATATCCATATTTTCCCCCATTTAGGGTGCCTCTTCTCCTCCTCCCTTGTCTTAGTTCCACCCTTTCAGTTCAGGCTCCGCTTCAAACCTCAAGTTTATATAAAATGTTTCTGAGAAGGGCCCTAACCTTCGGGGATTCCAAATATTTGAATAATGTACATTCCGTTTCCTTTGCATTTAACACTTGCTGCCTCCTGCTGCTATTTTTTCTGGAAGTACATGTGCACCGATACTCCACCTAAGTTATAGATCCTCGGTAAGTATTTGTTGTCTTTGGTGACAGTAGAAAGCAGTATATCTTTCAAGTCTCACTCTGAATGTCACTTCCCCAGAGATACCTTTCTTGACTCTTCTGTCTAGATACGCTTCCTCTGTGACAGGTTCTCAGTGAATTCCACATTTTGTCTTGATAGCACTTAGCATAGCTGGATTAAATAATTATGCACTTGCTCATTTGTTAAATGTCTTGTCTCCTTCCCCAGGTTGCAGGACCAATGAAGGTGGTGACTCCATCTGTTTCAGTCACTTCTGTGTTCCCAGTACCCGGCACATGATTTGCTGGATGAATGAGTGAATAAATACATGGTAAGTGCCTTGTAAAGGATGAATGATAAGCAGATACGTGGTAAATGCCTACTGTAAGCAATAGGGGCTCTAGGCACTTAAAAGAGGGAGAAATCAGTAGGCATGGGAGGGAGGAAGGTAGGGTCCTCAGGCCGTGAGCTGAATGCCTTTGGGTGAGTAACATTCAGTGGATAGAGGTGATGGGGAGGACATTCTAAGCTGAGGCAACCATGTGAGCAAAATAACAGACATCTGCCACCCTCTGGGTATCAGACCATTGTGCAGAGCATTTCTTGTGTGCCCTCTTATCTAATAATCATCCTATGAAGAAACTAATATTATTCTCATCTTACAAATGTGGAAACTGAGGCAACATAGACAATAACTTGGCCAAGTGATAATTCAGCCAAGGTCAGTAGCCCTAAGGAAGGTACCAAGATAGAAATCTACCTAGAGAACTTGCATGAGTGTGTGAGAGTGTTAGTATTATTTTATTTCCAGTTACAGTGAGGAAGAAGGAACATGAGATGTTAGGCCCTCTAAAGTCATATTTTTTATTATGAAATATATCAAAACTAAAAGAGACTAGCTATGTTCACGGGCCTCCTCCTGGTCACATCCACCTTACTCCCACACAGAAGTAACTACTCTTCCAAATTGCTTATTGTTCTTTTCTTTACACTTTTCCCATATATGATTCATTCCTTAAATAGTCTACATAACTTGCATGTTGTTGAATTTTATGTAAATAGAATTATTTCAAGTTTGGAGTGGTTTTTTTTTTTTCCCCGCTTACCTTTTTCGGTCAAAATTATGCCTGTGACATTCAGCTGTGTTGGGTGTGTAGCTATAGTTCATTCATTTTTACGTGGTATTCCATCGTAAGAATAAAGCTCACTTTATCCATTTTCTTGGTGGATGTTTGGGTAGGTTCCAGCTGGATAGTTTGTTGTCCTTGGCAATGCTTCCGTGAACGTTTCTGTACATGTCGCCTGGTTCACATAGCTAGATTTTCCTGAGAGTGTGTTCACAGAACCGGAATTCCTGGGTCCAGGGTATGTTCAGCAACCACATTATTATTAGACAATGCCACAGCGCTTCCAATTTGTACTCTCAGCAGTGTCTACATTCCCACTGCTGAACATCTTTATCAACACTTGGCATTTGAACATTTTTGTTAGAGAATAAGATGGTATCTCATTGTGGTTTAAAGCTGCATTTCCCTGATTCCTAATGAGGTTAAACATATTTTCTTAAGTTTATTGGTTATTTGTATTTTCTTTTCCAGTTCTTGTACAGGTTACTTGTCTGACCCATGGCTTTCTGATTGGGTTCAGCCAAGGGAGTTCCTGACAAGGGATAGACGTTTGAGATGAGGAGAATCCAAGGTGTTTCTTGCCTCCCTGCTTTGTGAGCATGGCAAACAGTGGCCATGTCTTTTTTGTGGTTCCAGCTCCTGCCTGAAGCCCTACCCTTTGTAGTCCAAGTCCTATCAGGCAACCTGTGCCCACGCTTCCGGATCCTCTTGGGTAGCTCCTTCTCCAAGGTTCCGGCTCCCACAGGGTAGCCCTGGCTCCTATTTGGGTAATACCAGCCCTTCTCTGCTTCTCAGCCCCATGGATAGTAGTAGCTTCTTATAACAGTTACTTTCTGGATAGAAAGTATCTATGAAGAAACTACTATTATTCTCATCTTACAAATGTGGAAACTGAGGCAACATAGACAATAACTTGGCCAAGTGATAATTCAGCTAAGGTCAATAGCCCTAAGGGAAGGTACCAAGACAGAAATCTACCTAAAGAACTTGCATGAGTGTGTGAAAGCTCAATAGCACTTATTTTTAGCTCTTTCAACATCTCGGTAACTAGTTATTTCCCTATATTAAGTTTCTTCTATTGAACTACCTCAGATGGGTTTTGTTCTCTGTACTGGACCTTGATGATTTTGATTCAACTTATGAAAGAGTTGTACCTGAGACAGAACCTGAATTTATGTGAACAGGAACAACTCAAATGGAGCATACTCAACTTCTTGAGGAGTGGTGGCATAAAGAGAGCCAGTGTGGGTGCATTTACACTGCTGTTTTGGTGATGCCCACAGATGGTCTCGGGTGTAGTAGGAGGACCCAGGAGGCACAGGCAAGGGCTTGGTCTAAGAATAAATTTTAAACAAGTCCCACTACACCATGATAATAAAGACCTGCATTTAGTCCCAGTCATAACTAAACTCAGGAGGACTATAATCATAGACCCAGACCCCAAAGGGCAAATGTAAGGTTGTAATTCATCTACTTAAAAACCAAAAAACAAAGTCAAAACAACTCATCCTGTTAAAACAAACTGAACTTCCTACATTGACTTTAAACTGTAGAATTCTCAAATGAGGAAATGTTCCACTAGGATGTCTACAGTAGATTGACACAGAGGCTGGGCAAGGAGCCATGTGGCTGACTTATTATTCGCTTATCAGCT